AAGTGCCTACTGCAAAGTACACTATAATACAACATCACGAAACACTACGTCTGCGCAGAAAAGCACCCACTGCAAAGTGGACTGTAATACAACCTCACGAGACATTACGTCTGTCATGGATAACAACAAACTAAAGTACACTGAGAAAGTCACGAAAATACAACTCCATAATCCGTCAACGATCGTCGTGCGTACGCGGATCTCGCTGGGACCGATGAGAAACTCCTCCGTGGGACCAACCCCTGCCGCCTTCTCGATCTCTCTGACGCTGGCCGCCGCGTCCGCCAGCGGGAGGCTCGGGAATGACGGGGAGCTCGTCGGGATCGTCGTCCATAATGACTCTCCTGCCTCTCACCATCCTGATGGCTGTTGCTGCTAGGTCATCACGTCGGCGTGCCTCGCGTGCCATAGGCAGACCGTCAGTCCCTGAAGTCTCCCCCTCCTGGCGTCGATCTAAGGGCACGTATCAGGTCTGCCTCAGTCGTGTAACAACATCAGGCTCCTCCAAAATAATCGATGCCTCTCTCAAACCGTACGTCCGCGGCGGATCCACTGCGCTCGTCGTGGCACCGCCTGCACCCTCACGTCTGTCGTCACCGGCACCACCACTGCCACCGCCGCCACCCCCTCTACCGCCAAACCCTGCAGCTACAACATCTCGACGTCTCGCGCTCGTCGAAACCCCTATCAAACCTGGCTGACGACCGACACTCGTCGTCGTCACCCGTCTCGTCTCACTCCATGGTCGATCTGTGCGACCGAACAACATGGTGTCCAGCAACTCCCGCGCACGCTGGGTAGTGTCTCTCCGTCTACGGGCAACTGACCTCGGGGTGAGGCTGCCGCCCTCCCTCGGAGCTGCGCTCAAGGGTGACGAAGGGCCTGCGGCGCCTCCAGATGGCGCTGCGACCGAACCTCCAGAAGGTAAGTCCCCTGCGACCCCGCCCGATGCCGCTGCGATGGAACCTCCAGAAGGTAAGCCCCCTGCAGCCCCGCCAGATGGCGCTGCGACGGAACACCCGGAAGGTAAGTTGGGGCTGGCTGGCCCCCAAGATAAGTCCTACACGTGAGGCAGCTTCCCCTCCCCTGGGACTGACCTCAAAACGCGCTGGTCGATCTCCGTCAAATCCCTCGTGCCGTGGTGCTCCAACTCCTCAGCGGTCATAAAACCAAAAGGGAGGCTGCCTCGAGGCGTAGCCACATGCCTAATCTACGGCCTCGTCCGTGACGGCGCAAAAGTAGGGACCGGGGGTATGCACGCGCCCCTGCCTACACGTCGCTCCTCGACCGGGCCACCGCCATGTGGAGGACGCCTAAAACCCTCCAAAAACGGTGCCTGATGTGGCACCACTGGCCCCACAGCAGTGCGAACCACCAAAGTCTGTGACATACCAACGGTCCCCGCTACGGCCCCATCCCCCCCAGTGGTCGGCGCTATCCCCTCCGCCTGTGCCGATGGGCGAATATCATCAACGCCCACTGACTGCCCCGTCGGTATGTCCTCCAGACCCGGGGACATATGCACGGCACTCTCGACTGAACCCGCAGGCAGAGGCACGCCCGCGACCTCCTTCAATGTCTCCTCTGGCCTCCGCTCCACAGCAGGATGCTGCGCCGGCTCCGAACGTGGCTCCTTTGTCGGTGCCAACCCGCTCTCGTGTGTCCCCTGCTGGACATCCACTCCCGTACTCGAAACCTCTGCCAAAGCTCCCTCCCGCTGTGTCGTGTCGTGAACCTCTGTCGGAGTATCCGTGTGGGCAGCTGGCCCCGCGTCAACAGACGCCGGCGTAAATGTCCCCAGCTGCCTCTGTCGGTCCTCGGCCGCAAGACGGGCGAGCTCCTGCGTCCTGGGGTCCCTCTGTGCCATGAGGCACGCTCGGCGACTATCAAGCCTATCCAGCCTGTCTGCAGATGTCTCTCCAGGGGGTGTCCGGTCCTCATCCCCCTCTGCCCCCAACATCACCTCTGCGCGCATAGCAGGGGAGAAACTACTCGGGTCCGCGAAGCTGATCTGTCCCAATAAGTCCTGCGTACCCACACTGATGTCCCCTCGGGACTCGCTCTCTCCAAGGGCCAGACCCGCACTCTCTCCCGGGGGCATACCCATATCGCCAAACTCACTGAAACCGCCTTCGCCGCCCATCGGTATCCCCTCAACCGCTGCATCAGCCTCGGCACCGCCTCCACCTCTGGCCAGCGCACCACCATCTCCACCAACCAACCCCTGTTTGTCTCTGTCGTCACCCTGCACCGGCACAGGACCGCCCTCCAATCTGTCCTCCAATCGCTGTCTCGGGCCCCTCACCAATCTCTGCAATCGATCTGCAACGGCTGGGTGTCGATGAAGCTGCTCTGTCGAAGTGCGAAGAGCGGTGGATGATGTCGTGCCAGAGCAACCCAGAGGACGATGGCCAATCCCCGACTCTGCCCCCCTCGAAGGTGCAAACCCAGGATCTGTTTCCCGCTCAGCGGGAAGTGAAACGGTGGACGTAGGCCTCGGACGCTCTAAAGGGCTCCCATGACGACCCCCAGACTCCTCCTCCAAATCAACCTGAATGAAAAGGTCATCTCCGCCACTCCGTCTACGGACGTCCTCTGGGTCGCTCCACTCATCACGCTCATCCGCCGCAGGAGTGGTGCTAGCGGGGCCCGCCGGCTCGTCCTCGTCCTCGTGACCCTCAGAATCACTGTCGTCTCGAGGGTACGAGTGCAATGTGGCGGCTTGAGTCCCGAAAACATTGCCCACATCACCCGGAGGAGCTCTGGACCCACATGGGTTTCGCAGCCATGAACGTCTCTGATCCTCGACCTCCTCCCGTGTCCTACTCTCGTCCGTCCCCTTCCACGAGGGGCGAATCCCGATACCTCCCTCCACGTCCAACAACGACTCATCTACAGTCCACGGCAACGCGAACCCGCGACCTGCTCGCTGATGAGATAGAAGGCGGACGTTGGCTGAGATCTCAACCAACTTCGCGACCTTCTCGAACTCAAGCCGGTTACGCTTCTTCGTCTGTACACCCTCGTGGACGGCCCAATTCCTCTCCGCAGGAGAGGAGCACGTCCACATGTACATCACACGAAGACCGATAACCTGCAACTGCGGGGCGCACTGCCTGTACCTCGACCACCAACACCTAGACTCGTACGTCTCCGCATCGCCCCTGCACCTCTGTGCATCTCTGTCTCCGTCTCTCCCCCCCGAAGCAATCGTCCCCCTCCGTGTGTGGAAGTCGCGCAACTGTGCACATGCGGTCTCGTAGTCGCGGCTCGCCACACTAAACCCTGTCTGCGACAAGATGTAAGTTTCCGCCTCCCTCACCAAGCTCGCGTCGTAGTCGCTGACCACGCCCTCGAAGTACCGCAAGTCCCGCCGGCTGGGATAGAGGAGGTGAGCAGCGGCGTGCGCCGGCTCCAGCATATGAGTGCATCGAGCCTGCACCCTCTGTACAATGTAGTGTGCAAGATCGGGCGGAAGTGCACAAACCTCCTCAGCCACCTGGCGGGCCAGATCCTGCGTCCACTCAACCACCCGCGACATGTGCAGCCCTCCGCGGTCCAACCTGCGCAGCAGGTCGTACACAGGCTCCATGATACGGAGCAAGATGCCCATGGAATCCCACCAACTGCCATGTCGCACCTGCCACCTGACCCACCTAGCCAAATGACGAACTGAATGGTCCCAAGGGACCATACCCCAACTATCGCCATCCACCGTCCTCTCCAAAGCTGACCTCACTGCCAGCAAACGCTCCACCATCACGAACACGGATGCGAAACGTGTCTCGCAAGGATAGATGAGGCCCATCTGACTGCTCTCCCCCCGGAAGATATGGAGAGCGGCTCCGTGCTCCTTAATGAAGCGCACCACCGCTCTCCCCCTTATGATGATGTCCTTGGACCACGGGCCCGAACAGCCAATGTCTGACAACATCTTGTTGCAGACATGCACTGCGCATGGGAGCCACGTGATCCGTCAATGCTCCAGCCTCTGTTGGGGCCCCTGGAGCATGTTCGCCGTGGCGACGTATGCCGAGGCGGAGTCGGTGCAGATGGCGTTCACCCACTTAGGGGGGAAGTCATCGAACACCTTGATCCACCGCGCCAACACATTAGGCACCCGATCCCGCTCACCCTCCCTGTTCATCGTCCAGACAAGCATCACCCCACGCGACCCGCCGGCAAGGAAGTTAACGATGGGTCTAGCATCGCGTGACTTCCTTCCGTCTGACATAATGGTGGCCCCCATGACATAGAAAGGAGCCCTGACCTCCGCGAGATCAGCTCCCACATCGTCCGCCGTGTGGACAATGGTCTCTATGTCCGCGATCTCATTCTCTGAAGGCCACAACACCTTCACTGGCCCCGACAAGTCCCTGAAGTGTCGGACGACGTCCAACCATGGCTCGCTCCGGAAGACGTTGAACGCCAGGTGCTGACTGTACACAAACCGCAGCCACTTCTTCTTGAACTCCATCTGCCACTTTGAAGTGAACGACTCCGTGATCGTGTTCTATATCATCCTCTTCTGTGCTGCGAGTGCTGCCGTCGGTCTGTCCCCCTCCTCTCTCTCCTTCCTCTTCCCCGCAGGCGCACTTGCCTCAGGCGTATCCGCACCTGCCCGTGCACGAAACGACACGTGCACCGATGCAAAGTACTGGCCCTGCTGCCCCCCCGGCTCGCTGACAACGCCCTTCCCTCACTCCCTCCTTGACGCCCCCGCCCGTGCAACCTCCTCGTCGTCGTCGTCCACATTGATCTGCTCCCCCGCGTCCCTCATCTCTCCCTCCCCCCCCTCATCCTGTTACGGATCCACCGCAGGCGCCGCACCGTGAAGCTCCTCAAATCGATGTATCCGCTCTAGGAACTTCTCGGACATCTTGTACTCACTGTTATAGTGGATGTTGACAAGTGCCTCGTCTGTCACTTCCGGACATCCCTTGCCCTGGCGGAAATGATGCGCTGCCACGAACTGGTTGCCCTGGAACTCGTGGCCGCAGAAAACGCACTTCAACATGCGATTGCCGCGGAATCTCTCGTCGAGACTCTGTCCCACGCGGATGTACTTGTACACGCAACACTTCTTCTACGCCTTCAGATTCTCGTCCTCCCCCCCATCCTCAAACACCCGAGATTGACTTTGCGGCATCGTGCCCGCTCGCCGATGGGTTCACCGAAGCGGTCCGCCCCTAGCCTGTCCCACGAAGCCCCAACTCCCGCCGGCGTCCCTCCCCGCTGCAGGCCTC